CTGGATGAGGGCCTCCCCATGACGTGTCCAACTTGTTTGTGCGTGGCGATTACCCATGCATGCGCTGCCCAGGCCCAACCCTGCTAAGCTTCCGAAGATCTGACGAAAGAGGGTGCATTCCGGGTGATTTTCCCCGAAGCAACATGTTTTTTTTACAACGCTATCCATTATTTAACCACCCAAAGCGACGTGCAATTTGTTACGAAGAACAGAGAGCTGTGAACGTTTGCACACACGCACAGAAGCCATACACACAGAGCGCGCTGTACAATCAATTTCGCAACAGAGTTGACACACAAACTACTGCATTGAGAAGGAATCGCAAAGCATCTGGTGCTGGAATTCTGAACCAACAGAGCCTGCTTGCAAAAGCTGCTTCGGGAGTCGATGTTTTTGCGGGAGGCCGAGTGGGGGAAGAAGGGGGAAGAGAAAGGGGGGGGGGGGTGGTGATGCTGTTTTCAGAACGTTCCCGCGGGGGAATCTGAACAATCCAAAGAATTCTCAGCGAAATATATCATGTTCCAACAGGGCCCGAGGCCACATTCAACGCTTTCTTGTCATCGTCCAATTGGTTTCGCCAAATTTTTCTACGAGCTTTTGATAAAATGTTTGAGAACCCACATCTACCCCCCCCCCTCCTCAGCACACCCCAGAACTCTCGATGCAAGACTCGCAATGCCGCGCAGGGAAAAGTCAAGATTGCTCAGCCCGAATGAACGTGTAGATGGCTACCTCTAAGCTGGGTGTCCCAACTGTCTGACGCCTTTGAAACTGTGAATAAAAAACAAACAAAAAAATTATTATCCACGATCAATCCTCCACTGTTGTATAAAGGACTCCCCAAAGCCGTTTACCATCTCTCTTGGTCCTGTGATGCAACGATCCATTTAGCTTCTGCACACCAGCTGATTTCACTGCCCACAATTTCCTTGGCAAACGTCCTCAGTCGTGTCCCTTCCTTTGGCCGGCGCTCTGTCGGTAGTTCTTGATGATTAGCTAACATTCCTTCGAGCAACGTGTCCTGCCCAAGGTAACATATACTAATAAAAACAAAATCGCCCAAAAATGTCCAAGCTTTGTTCCCTGAAAATCCGTGTGGAAATTGAGAAGATAGCTCACGCCGTTCCAAAACGCCCATGTCAGGCGCTTGGCCGATTGGTATTGGTATAATGTGCATGGCAAGGAAGGCAATTAATCATTCAATTAACGGCACAGGACAGGTCACGCCCAAACAAGGGCATTGCAGGGGAAAAAATCCAACCTCGATACATTCTTCTTCCCATTTTGGAGGCTTCTGTTAACCTAGTAACTTCTTAAAATATTTCCATTTCTGTTTTAGGTTTACAAGGAGCATCGATGACTCTTAAAACTCCAGATCCTTGCAGGATCTCGTTTCCATGTTTACCTACCAACATAACCGTGCGTCACCACTTGATTTACACCCGAATGAGAAATAGTGGCTAATGTGGGAAAGACTGGCCGATGTGTGCAGGCATGAGCCACCACGGAATGTAAGAGAGAGGGTCCCCCCTGGCACCGGGCGATTTTTTTCCGTGCACTTGTCACTTCAGGAAATTGGCCTCACCTCACTCAAGGTTTGCCGGGAGCTCTTGATGTGGTCGGAATACTTTTTTACGTACGTTTTATGTGCGTAAAACCACCAGTAATTCAATTAAGTCAAATGGTTTGCAAAGCAACGCCCAGCCATTGGCATGTTTGGAAAACATGGTTTCATCATCCCCCTTGAACATGCGCATGTACAGCCCTATTGCCAAAACACTGCTGGATAAGGGGTGTAGCACAATATAACAATGGATTTTGTTGTGTTGCCCTCTGCATATAAACAGATGTTATAGACCACTGAGGCCACCAGCGACGTGACCACCCATCCAAGCACTATCCAGACTCGAACCTGCTTCGATTCCCAAATCTGGGTGACATCGTGGTTGCTTTGCTTGAATGTTTTTTTTCCCCTGTGATTTGGTCAAAGGGTACCTTTTCAACATGGCTATAAAAATATTGTACTCCTAAACAGAACCTGCATTAGGTTGCTTTTTTTCATTACTGTAAATGAATTTGTACAGCAACCTTTGTAATCCTGAGCAATCCCATCATGGTTTAAAATCAAATTAGGAAGCATAATGCATGAAAACTGAATTAAACTTTAATTACCAATTTTTATAAATCATAATAAAAGTCGTGCCTCAATATGCAACCCCCCATCTGCCATTCATTATAAACAAAATGCACAATACGTTTATCTAATTTGCAATTCACTTAAATTGAGTTTTACGAGCAATGGGTTTAATTGTGAAATATTATCGCTGTAATGCACAGCACTTAGCAATCCATTTTACAATTTCAATAAAACAAATCAGAGCCCAAGCGTTGATCTTTAAATACTCAGATGCACCAACAGAGCCCGACCTGATTTAATGCAGAAGCCAATTTATATAATTAATAACTTATTCGTTTGACACAATTAGTTCACTTGAAAATTATGAATCGTTCATTTGGAGTAATTTCCCTGGTTAGACCTGACATGTTATCCCACTGCTAGATGAGGGCTACTCAATGCCATGCGGGTAATGGGGTTTGATTTCCCATACTTTACCACGTTGGTCAGTCTGGGTTTGCAAAGGTGGGGGAGGAGCATAGAAATACGGTACAACAATAAATTGTGCTGCACTATCTTCTGCTAATGAATGTTGAACCTCTTTCGCACAAATAATCACGTAACTCTACAGACTATGACTCGTCATTCCAAGCACTATCCAGGCACAATCCGGTATAGCTCTAAGACCGGATGAGATCAGACACATTCTGGGTTATTTGGTCATAGGTCACCTGACATAAGCACTACAGAAAACTATGATTCAGCCCAGTGAACTTCAATACCAGAATCGGACGTTTGAAGAAATGCACGAGTTTCATGTCAATAATACTCCAATACATTTGTTTGTGTAAATAATAATTACTCTCTCAGGACAGTCCCAATTGGGATGTTTGGCCAATTCCACAAGCAAGTGGTTGGATTCACGTCGTAAGGTTAACTTGAGCATCCGCAGAAACCCCAGGCATGCAAAAAAGGGGGAAACTGAAAAATTGGCACATATGGATCTAATAATCCATTGCTCTACTGCCAATTCCAGCCATGTGGAAGTCCAAGCCCACAATACATGGTATTCCCAGGCAGTTTCATCATACAAATATTAAGCAGCCTAAATCCCTGGCTTGGAAGTGTGTCGAGATCAGGCACATTCAGGAGGATTTAGTCATAGACAAAAACAAATACGTAGATTGAATATATCATCAACCTTCACCCAACATTGGATAGATAATGGCACAACAAATCACCATATAATTCAATTTGAAGTTAAGTGATGTTTATGCTGTAAACGTTAGTCTCACAATACACCAATCGCCATGTGTCTGCGATACAATACTGTTAAGGGAAACATGTCATGTTAAATATTTCCCACCCATCTATGGTAAACCAAAAAGAACCTGCCATCCATTTCAAATGATGAAACAAACATTTTAAACAAACAGCCACGTCAAGAGGATAATAGCACCACACTAAAAAAATCACGTGCCATAAATTAAACGAAAACTGTTATTATTAAATAATCTGGGTAATGTTTTCCTTTCATAAGTTGTAATAATTTGGACAGATGTGCTTACAGCAAGCCACCATTTACAATGAATGCACTGTTTGTAGTTTACACAACGGCACGTTATCACGTAAACAGTTCTGAACTTTCAAGAGCCGACTGCTTATTACGTGACCTCATTGTATGCGTTAGCTCAAGCAAGAAATACTGTAAGTTTCTGTAAGTGTTGAAAACGTAATCCTTCCAAACATGCTGAAGGAAAGCAGGCAATGCGATCGTTTCATGAAATAAACACCATTTACAACATAACTAACTGCTCCTTCACATCATGATCATCGGTGCTGATCTTATCCACTGCTGGATAAAGGTCTCGAAACGCCAGTACAAAGAACATTCACGAAATCTGTTCTGAAAACAAAACGTGAATTTCAAGAGTTCCAACACACAAAAAAAACGTAATATCAAAAAAAAGTTCCAACTGCTGTACATTGTCTTTTTTCAACTATTTTATTTTATTGCTTTATATTTTTATTATTTTATTGTTTCCCTCCTACGTGACTTCACCGAAAGAACCAAGAATATGAATCCCTGCAGTCACGAAAGCTTTAAATCCGTCTCTCCTTAACGCGTTTTCTCGAAGTTGGTCTGCGTCTCAGTCTGTCCACAAGCGTCTCTCGCTCCCTTTTCACATGCCTCGATATCCATCTGTCAACCTGTGCATATCGATATCACTGTGTCTGCATTGTACGTCTCAGTTAAGACATATCTACTAAACTATACCCGTGTATTTATGTGTAACTTTTCACGTCTGCGTCTCAAGCCATGCCCGTGTCTCCCCTCCGCAAGTTTCCCCTTACTGAGACGAGTTATCAACAACAACGCCAACTTTGACCATACGACTCCACACACAACACACAAACACGCACGACACTCAAATACACATTTCCACAGCACTCCCATCCCTTGCCTCGCAATACCAAATGTAATCGCAACATTAATTAAGCAAAAAAGGACATTGCAAGTTCTTGTAAAAGTTACACTTTTGTGGTGGTGGTGGTAGTGGTGGTGGTGGGGGTACACGTGGAGACTTCGTAGGCCCCAGGGGTCTCGCCTAGTCTGTCATACCGGAAGAGTCGGCACCTGGGCGGCAGGGCAAGGACCCCCACCCATACCCCCCCTCCACCCAACCAACATGTACCTTCGCCGTCGAAACAATTGACAAATGAACTCATTGTCAACTCACGAGGCAGCTCATTAACGTGGTCACGCATCACATTCGGTGGTATTTTTTTTTAAACCACATTAAACCAATTCGACAACATTACGCGAAAGCACGTGTACAGTACAGTATATAGCAGCGCTGTGCAAGACCAGGCGAACACGTACAGTTTTGCTTGCCGAAGTCTTTAGTTTCCGACAATTGGCGTGTACATATTAACAATTAGGGCCATTGGCGACTTTCAATTGCTTCCGCTTAGCGTTACGTCTGTTTATAAACAACACGGCGAGCTCTACATACACGCGCGCCGCAACAACGCACACAAAACAATGCGGGCCCCGCTTCTGTCAAGCACGCTTTAAAAGCAAACACAACACACCACAGCCTTCAACTCCGCAATTAAAAAAAAAATAAACTCACTTTTAATTAAAAAAAAATTGTATATATGAAATATAAAAACACACACATACAGCCAGCAACGTTAATTAGCCACGTACACGCCGTTTTAATTTTTTTTATATTTTATTTTTCAAATAGCATAGTCCCCGACACGAATTTAACTTCACTACTCACCCGGGAGAGTGTTTTGCCAGAGCTGCGCTCTCCCTTCACGCGTCCTAATGAATATTTACGGCAACACGAGCGGGAGCAGGGCCCGCATTTTTGTTATACTTATCATTGCTTGCCCAAGTCTTTCTTTTTCTTCTTGTTGTTGTTGTTGGTGGTGGTGAAACTTTCTAGTTTTTCCGAGCTAATTTGTGGGTTTTGGTTAGTAAAGTTGACAGCTTTCAAAGATCCCGGCCACGAATGACGCCGCTGCCGCTGCTGCTCCTGCCTCTCTCTCTCCTCCTCTCTCTCTCTCTGCTCGTTACGTTTCAAGGTTTTTTTTTGGTCTCCCTCCTCTCTCTCTCAACAAAGCAAAACATGGCCTCGGCCACGACTCTTGTAGGTTTACATTTAATTATAACATCTTTACAAAAAAATATTGTTTTAATTGGGTTAAACCCCCCCCAAACAACATCATAGCTGCCAACCCACACGATTTGTTAACTCCGTATTGTTGTACAGGGCAATTGAGTTGTCAGGTTCCATACGGCGTAAAGCCGTTTCAATATACGGGCAACAACTGTTGTTTGTCTATTTGTTCGTGTTGATCCCTTGTGATGGTACTTTGTAGGATGGACGTTGAGATTTATAAGGGGCACGGGGGTGACCGATAAGATCTGAATTGGTCTGTAATAAGGTAGGGCACTGATAAGGGGTTGACAGGTATTTAGTGGTGAGTGCACTAGTGGTGAGTACTACTGATAAGGGGTTGACAGGTATTTAGTGGTGAGTGTACTAGTGGTGAGTGTACTACTGATAAGGGGTTGACAGGTATTTAGTGGTGAGTGCACTAGTGGTGAGTGTACTACTGATTAGGGGTTGACAGGTATTTAGTGGTGAGTGTACTAGTGGTGAGTGTACTACTGATTAGGGGTTGACAGGTATTTAGTGGTGAGTGTAGTAGTGGTGAGTGTACTACTGATTAGGGGTTGACAGGTATTTAGTGGTGAGTGTAGTAGTGGTGAGTGTACTACTGATTAGGAGTTGACAGGTATTTAGTGGTGAGTGTAGTAGTGGTGAGTGTACTACTGATCAGGGGTTGACAGGTATTTAGTGGTGAGTGTAGTAGTGGTGAGTGTACTACTGATAAGGGGTTGACAGGTATTTAGTGGTGAGTGTACTAGTGGTGAGTGTACTACTGATTAGGGGTTGACAGGTATTTAGTGGTGAGTGCACTAGTGGTGAGTGTACTACTGATAAGGGGTTGACAGGTATTTAGTGGTGAGTGCACTAGTGGTGAGTGTACTACTGATAAGGGGTTGACAGGTATTTAGTGGTGAGTGTAGTAGTGGTGAGTGTACTACTGATAAGGGGTTGACAGGTATTTAGTGGTGAGTGTAGTAGTGGTGAGTGTACTACTGATAAGGGGTTGACAGGTATTTAGTGGTGAGTGTCGTAGTGGTGAGTGTACTACTGATTAGGGGTTGACAGGTATTTAGTGGTGAGTGTAGTAGTGGTGAGTGTACTACTGATAAGGGGTTGACAGGTATTTAGTGGTGAGTGTACTAGTGGTGAGTGTACTACTGATAAGGTGGTTGACAGGTATTTAGTGGTGAGTGTACTACTGATAAGGGGTTGACAGGTATTTAGTGGTGAGTGTAGTAGTGGTGAGTGTACTACTGATTAGGGGTTGACAGGTATTTAGTGGTGAGTGTAGTAGTGGTGAGTGTACTACTGATAAGGGGTTGACAGGTATTTAGTGGTGAGTGTACTAGTAGTGAGTGTACTACTGATAAGGGGTTGACAGGTATTTAGTGGTGAGTGCACTAGTGGTGAGTACTACTGATAAGGGGTTGACAGGTATTTAGTGGTGAGTGTAGTAGTGGTGAGTGTACTACTGATTAGGGGTTGACAGGTATTTAGTGGTGAGTGCACTAGTCGTGAGTGTACTACTGATAAGGGGTTGACAGGTATTTAGTGGTGAGTGTAGTAGTGGTGAGTGTACTACTGATAAGGGATTGACAGGTATTTAGTGGTGAGTGTAATAGTGGTGAGTGTACTACTGATAATGGGTTGACAGGTATTTAGTGGTGAGTGTACTACTGATAAGGGGTTGACAGGTATTTAGTGGTGAGTGTAGTAGTGGTGAGTGTACTACTGATAAGGGGTTGACAGGTATTTAGTGGTGAGTGCACTAGTGGTGAGTACTACTGATAAGGGGTTGACAGGTATTTAGTGGTGAGTGTAGTAGTGGCGAGTGTACTACTGATAAGGGGTTGACAGGTCTTTAGTGGTGAGTGCACTAGTAGTGAGTGTACTACTGATAAGGGGTTGACAGGTATTTAGTGGTGAGTGCACTAGTGGTGAGTACTACTGATAAGGGGTTGACAGGTATTTAGTGGTGAGTGTAGTAGTGGTGAGTGTACTACTGATAAGGGGCTGACAGGTAGTGGTGAGTGTAGTAGTGGTGAGTGTACTACTGATAAGGGGTTGATAGGTATTTAGTGGTGAGTGTAGTAGTGGTGAGTGTACTACTGATAAGGGGTTGACAGGTATTTAGTGGTGAGTGTACTAGTGGTGAGTACTACTGATAATGGGTTGACAGGTATTTAGTGGTGAGTGTACTAGTGGTGAGTGTACTACTGATAAGGGGTTGACAGGTATTTAGTGGTGAGTGTAGTAGTGGTGAGTGTACTACTGATAAGGTGGTTGACAAGTATTTAGTGGTGAGTGTACTACTGATAAGGGGTTGACAGGCATTTAGTGGTGAGTGTAGTAGTGGTGAGTGTACTACTGATAAGGGGTTGATAGGTATTTAGTGGTGAGTGTAGTAGTGGTGAGTGTACTACTGATAAGGTGGTTGACAGGTATTTAGTGGTGAGTGTACTAGTGGTGAGTGTACTACTGATAAGGTGGTTGACAGGTATTTAGTGGTGAGTGTACTAGTGGTGAGTGTACTACTGATAAGGTGGTTGACAGGTATTTAGTGGTGAGTGTAGTAGTGGTGAGTGTACTACTGATAATGGGTTGACAGGTATTTAGTGGTGAGTGTACTAGTGGTGAGTGTACTACTGATAAGGTGGTTGACAGGTATTTAGTGGTGAGTGTACTACTGATAAGGGGTTGACAGGTATTTAGTGGTGAGTGTACTAGTGGTGAGTGTACTACTGATAAGGGGTTGACAGGTATTTAGTGGTGAGTGTAGTAGTGGTGAGTGTACTACTGATAAGGGGTTGACAGGTATTTAGTGGTGAGTACTACTGATAAGGGGTTAACAGGTATTTAGTGGTGAGTGCACTAGTAGTGAGTGTACTACTGATAAGGGGTTGACAGGTATTTAGTGGTGAGTGCACTAGTAGTGAGTGTACTACTGATAAGGGGTTGACAGGTATTTAGTGGTGAGTGTAGTAGTGGTGAGTACTACTGATAAGGGGTTGACAGGTATTTAGTGGTGAGTGCACTAGTGGTGAGTGTACTACTGATAAGGGGTTGATAGGTATTTAGTGGTGAGTGTAGTAGTGGTGAGTGTACTACTGATTAGGGGTTGACAGGTATTTAGTGGTGAGTGTACTACTGATAAGGGGTTGACAGGTATTTAGTGGTGAGTGCACTAGTGGTGAGAACTACTGATAAGGGGTTGACAGGTATTTAGTGGTGAGTGCACTAGTCGTGAGTGTACTACTGATTAGGGGTTGACAGGTATTTAGTGGTGAGTGTAATAGTGGTGAGTGTACTACTGATAAGGGCTTGACAGGTATTTAGTGGTGAGTGTAGTAGTGGTGAGTGTACTACTGATAAGGGGTTGACAGGTATTTAGTGGTGAGTGCACTAGTGGTGAGTGTACTACTGATAAGGGGTTGACAGGTATTTAGTGGTGAGTGTAGTAGTGGTGAGTGTACTACTGATAAGGGGTTGACAGGTAGTGGTGAGTGTAGTAGTGGTGAGTGTACTACTGATAAGGGGTTGACAGGTATTTAGTGGTGAGTGTCGTAGTGGTGAGTGTACTACTGATAAGGGGTTGATAGGTATTTAGTGGTGAGTGTAGTAGTGGTGAGTGTACTACTGATTAGGGGTTGACAGTTATTTAGTGGTGAGTGCACTAGTGGTGAGTACTACTGATAAGGAGTTGACAGGTATGATATACACTACACTATGCACTACCGTATCAACCCACACCGTTTACCCAGTATTCTTGTACAGGGAAATTGAGTTTTCAGGTCCATACGGCGTACAGCCGTTTCAATACGGGCAAAAAAAAACAATCTATTTGTTTGTGTTTCTCCCTTGTGATGGGACTTGGTAGGATGAACGTTAAGATTTATAAGGGCAAGGGGTGACCAATAAGATCTGAATTGGTCTGTAATAAGGTAGGGCACTGATAAGGGGTTGACATGTATAAAACAAACCCACAAGTGTTCCAATGCGCACGCTTTTATTTGCACTCATAAAATGTAGAAAATCAATTATCTCAATAAAAGTTGGTGGCTCGCGTTAAGAAATTTTTATATATCGAAAGGAAGCTACCCGCTTTTGTTCAGCACGTCAAATTTGATGGTTTATGGGTTCGAAATCATTATTTTCTACTTTTAAGTGCGTGCATTGAAAAGCTTGTTTTTACCTAATCTATGACACAAATTAATTTAAATCTTGCTAAAATGATTTGTTTATGTACACATTTCATTCTAAGATCTCAATCTAGACAATAACAATAGTTCATTATTGTCTGGATAATTCTAATATATTTGAAATTGAGCAATAAAAAAGGAAAAAAATACAAAGAGGGCCAGGATCGGCGGGACATGGACCGGTTCTTTAAATGAAATCTTGAATTGGCACGTGAGTCTGTGTACACAGTTTCAGCTCGTTGGGCTTCGTAGATCAGAAGATATTAAGCGTCAAAGATTTGAAAAAATATAAACAGACAACAGGACAAGTTAAGCAAAAGTGTGTAAGAAGAAACAATCTGGTCACCTCACAACCTCAAAACTGGTTATTGGCT